AAAGGAACAGGAGAGAAGAGATTATTATTTCTCGACTTAGAATAGGACACACTGGATTGAATAGATCGTTATTTTTGATAGGGAAACATCAGACAGGGAAATGTGACTGTGGGGAAGATGAGACTGTGGAACATGTCATTTTAAATTGTAGTAAATATTCGATACAGAGAAACAGGTTAATAAGGAAACTTAGTGACATGAAAATGAAACTTGACATTGTCGATTTATTGCAGAAGGAATCAGGAAGCAGAGGATATCAGGTTATATTTGAATTTTTGAAACAGATTAGGTTGTATAATAGGGTATAGTTTTTTTTTTTTTTTTTTATTATTTTTTTTATTTTTTTTTTTTTATTTATTTATTTATTTTTTTTTGCCATGTAGTCCACACTCCATACCAGTTGGTGGCGGTAATGCTCACCTAACGTTTTTTGCCAACCGCCAATAAAACTCAATAAGAAGAAGAAGAAGGATGTCTGTACATTGGGCTCAATGATATCACATGGATTAGTGGGTCGACCCCTGCCTGGTGCTCCCACTGTGTGCCGATCAGTGCCGAGGTGATTTTAACAAGGGTCGCTTGCTGAGTCGTTTGACCAGGTTAGACGGGGGGTCATGGAGCTGTCCCCACTCCCACTAAAAGCCAATTTTTCCTGTGTTTAAATTGGTTTTTCAGCCAGTGTGATTTTTTTTATTTCTTTTGTTTTTTAATATACTCTAATAATCCCAGAGGGAAATTTCTTGTCTGCATTTAAAGGAATAGTACACCCAAAACATGATTAGCCTTCATTTTCTACTCACCCCCATGCTGAACAACACTCTGGAGTACTTTTTGATATCTCAAATGCATCTGGAGATCTGGGAGGCTTCTTGCTGTCTGCTGACATTCAAATAATGGAGGTCTATGGTGACCGAGACAGAAAGGTCCATAAAAGTCCACAAAAACGTGTCAATATTCCTCCATACTGCTCGTCCAATGTATTCCAAGTGTCCTGAGTGGGTAGCATCCAGAATTTACTCGAAACGAAGTCATTTAGAATGTTTTTAAAGCATAAACAGTAGTGTATAGTATTTCCTGAAAGCGCGCGCCAGCGCGTTCGCGAGCCTACGGAAGCCGGCAGACCAAACCAGATGAAAGTGCGCATTCAGCGTCTGCTCTGCCGATAATGCAAGCGTAGAAGAAGAAATGTGCTGTTTACCTGTGCAAAGAAAGAAACAACGAAAGAAAAATGTCTGAGGACTTCAGTGTTGAGGAAGAGCATGAGTTCTTTGCCGAGCTGAATGCGCTGGTTTGGTCTGCCGGCTTCCGTAGGCTCGTGAACGCGCTGGCGCGCGCTTTCAGGAAATACTATACACTACTGTTTATGCTCTAAAAACATTCTAAATGACTTCGTTTCGAGTAAATTCTGGATGCTACCCACTCAGGACACTTGGAATACCTTGGACGAGCAGTATGGAGGAATATTGACACGTTTTTTGTGGACTTTTATGGACCTTTCTGTCTCGGGCACCGTAGACCTCCATTATTTGAATGTCAGCAGACAGCAAGAAGCCTCCCAGATCTCCAGATGCATTTGAGATATCAAAAAAGTACTCCAGAGTGTTGTTCAGCATGGGGGTGAGTAGAAAATGAAGCCTAATCATGTTTTGGGTGTACTATTCCTTTAACCCATCCCCTTGGGGAGCAGTGGGCTGCCATTGTGAGGCGCCTGGGGAGCATTGTGAGGTTAAGGGGACTGGGAGGATTAAACTCAAAATCTCAGGATTCAAAGCCCTATGCCCTAACCACTAGGCCGCCACTCCCTAGTGGGGTATTAGAACGATCCGTTTAAAGTCCACACCTAGATTTAATTTAAAGTCAGTGGCAAGATTTTAAAAGTGTCATTCACACACATTGACCAAGCTCGAGGAAACAATACATTTTGGCTTCTAACCTCCACTGTTCGCTGAAGCTGTAAATACAGGTGGTTTCCCGGCAATTTGAGTATTGCTATAGTCTCACTCTATATTAATCTCTTTATACACCAGGGCCAGAACCTGTTTGGATACCTGTTCACAGCCGCTCTCCATCATCTCTAAGCTATAAATAAGAATAAGACCCATTATCTAGGTTTGCAAAGATTGAAGAGAGAGACTCCAGAAAACAACTGCAGCTGTTAAGTGCAAAGCACCACACCTTTCAGTTTTATATGGATGGTTGAAATTATTTTACCTCTCTTTTTCTTGAGCAGATCCCTCAAAGCAGCACGGATCATCCTCCTCTCTTCAAAATCAGCTGCATTGTCCAGCTGAGGAGAGATTTAAGCGTAATTTATTAAAACGAAAACAAATAAATTACGTTGTTAGTCGTAAGGTAAGGAGAATAAATGTGGGAATAGTCTTCCTCCGATGCCAGAAGCTATTTACAGGATTTTAGCATCACTTACCATTTTGTTGAGAACTTCTTCATCCTCAATAGAAGCCAGTTTTTCACTAAGTGATGTTGACCCTTCACTTTTTGACTCCATGTCTCACAGCAAAACCTGGCTGACTGAAATAACCAGAATCCAAGACGATCTAATTTTAAAGAATATTTGAGAGATGAGATTGAATGAAGGAAAGCTAAATTAGTCTTCCCGACATGTAAAAGCAGAACAAAAATTCCCACAAATCGTTTTTTTTTTTTTTGTAAGAAATACAACGGAACAACGAGGCACAGATATTTCTTACTCAAACATATACAGCTGCTTCAAAACTGAGCAGCTGTGTGACAAATTATTAGCCCAACTAAAGGGCCTCATATTGCATCAGAGCAACTGGACTAAAGAAGAGTCCTAAACATGTACAAATATAGTAATGTCATGAAGCTGGTTTCTAAAACAATCTGATGGCAGAACTAAACAATCCGCTGAGACACGGGGAAAATATCTTACTCCTGATGTCACAAAACAAGAAGAATAACATTAAAAATTTTCAATTCAGTGGGTAGATGTCTGGTCCAGCTCACCTGTTATCAGGATGAAAGCCAGCCCAGAGTTCTAGAGCAAACACTCCCGTCCCGTTATCTTTCTTTGCTAAACGACTCTATGAGGAGAAGTCCAGGAGATTGCAGCTTAGATCTCAGTGCTTCATAAGGATGCTTGTTCAGGCAGAGAGTTTGGATTGCTTATACGAACCTCCCATAATAGGATGAAGGAGTAGGAGGAGGAAACACACTGAATCCATCCATCTTTGTCACCTCCACCTCAGAGTCTCTGCTCCTCTTGTCACAGGATCAAGGATGATGTGATTCCAAAGGCATCAGGAATCTCTTCGGATTATTGTTTTATTTTCTGAGCAGAAAGACTATTAAAAGAAAATCTATATAATTTACCTTCAGGGTACAGCTGCCAAAAGGGAAACAAGGGGTTAAAAGGGGCAATCAGTGAGGAGTACTGCCTTATTCAGGCAAAAGGCTGAACACCAACTGTTTACAGAAGTGGAGAAATCTTTTAAAGGACAGAGAGAGCACATATTTGGAAATTAATTCAGACACTGGCATCTGCAGGAAAAACATAAGTAAAATATCAAACATCATTAGGGATCATTAAGTTTTAAAAGTTTAAAAATCAGGATAATGAATATGACAAAAGATAAACTGCTCCATCTAGTGTTGAACTCCTGGAACTGCAAAGATCAGTAAAGCAAAGCATGACTGATTTCATAGAACCTCATCTAGCTTTCCTCTAAACCACTGGGATCAGAAACAATGTTTCTCCTAAACTTAACATCACATTCCTAATAATGAAGCAGTCGCATTCATTAATTTCAGTGTCAAATAAAAATATATATACTGAAACCATAAGGTGATGTGTTAAAGCAGTTAAAGGCAAACTCATTTGATGTATGCATTTCTATATATTTCATTTTGCGTTACTGATGTTTTGAAAACATTCTCCCCATTTTTTCATGTTAAAGCCACTAAATCTAAATGTTTTTTACTGGAATTTTATTAGACACATCAGAAGTTTGCTAATCTAAAGAAAGAAAAACAAATCTAAGAAAGTAATGTGTACATTCAGCTCTTATGACTGTCGATGTTTGAAGATTCAACCTTCTGCTTCTTTTCCCTCTTCAACAGCAGTTTTTAGAAATTCTTTACTCTATTTTCAAGTGTGGAATTTTAAGGGTTATTGTTAAGCATGAATATATTATGATCCTACCTATTTCTATATTTAGACACTATCTTGCTCCATAAGGTAAGTTTTTCTCTAGTTTAAAAATGTTTGCCTCACTTAACAGGTTTTCTTTTAGAGTTACCTTTTCTAGCTTCACTTAACTTACCTGTTTTATCATCACTCCTAAATATTTGTTCCATAAACCCATCCATTGTATTGGGATGTTTGTTTCGCGTCGCCTTATTTTTAACATAGGTTTTTGACTGGAGAACCTCCTGCTTCAGCTTGACTGGGCCTTCGGTGGCAAACTGCAAAGGGACTTCTCCTTTCAACAGTAGTTTTCTTCCTGCCACTGTTCCATAAAGGTTCAATCTTTGGAGCATAAGAATCTTTTTCTACCTCCACAGATTCTCCAACCTGGGCTATGAATGTCTAACCATGCATTGCTTGGCTGCTTGTCTGGTTCTGCTTTCTACTCCCATCATTTGAGCTGGATAGACACGTCTTAATAGGTTTGTAGCTGAAGCACACTTTCCTTTTCAGAAGGTGTTGATCAGATTTAAGCATTAAGACTCGGAGTCTGTTGGGTGACATGATTTTTAACCCTAACAGGCCTGATGTGAGGGGTCTATAGCCTGAAAGGTTCTTATATAAGGCTTAACATAACAGTTCATTTGTTATTTTTTTCCCCCCTACTGATGCTAAAAAGATTAGCATCATAGTCTAAAAACAAAACCTTGGCCACAAATGTAAGAATTTATTTATGTTAGTCAGCTTTGCAAAGAAAACCACCAAATTATTGATGAGGGGCTTGAGTTTCTTTATTTGTTGTTCCAGTCCAGATAATTTAACTCCTTCTCTTTAGCAGGATGTCCAAATAAGGCAATGAGGCAAATGAGTCATTATTGAAGCATCTGAGTTTAAACCAGCCGAAAGGGACTAAAAAATACATAAATAAAAATAATTATTTACATCCATCGAGCTTTCTATTCAGAAACAAAAATTTACAAATGAACAACTTTGAAGGCAACAACTCTATAGCCCTCTGTGCAGCAGGAGCATTGTTTCCCATGTAATATTAATGAGAACAGATATTTTTTTTACTTATGTAAACAGGCTAGATTATAACGGAGAAATTATAAAAATCAATAGCAGTGATATGCAACATTATTAAGTTTTGGATATTACTGAATGAACATCGAGTTAAACAGGTGAGGTATTTCATGTGAGACCAGTTGAAATGTGTGTTACTTGTTCTGTTTATCTCCGATAAATACAGAAAACCACAGAAAAGCAAGCAAACTGTTGGATTTCTTTTAACATTTAAAACCCGCTATGTGTTCAATATTTTGTCTGTAAATGGCACCCTGGCAATATGCTAAATTTGCATTTTTTCCAGGCAAAACATGAAAAAAACTATAATGGAAAATGTTCATACAGGAATTATCTGTAAGATCTCAAACTCTGTGCAACAAACATTAGGTGCAAACTACAAAAAGTAAATATTTGTCATAAAAAACATGCTGAATTGAGGGTGGGTTATTTGGGATAGTAAAAGGAACAGCTTCATGCAGTCTGAATATTTTGTTCCAAAAGGAAAGCTGAAAGAGAAATGTCTGACTTGAACAAAGCCGAGAGCATTTACAGACAATTTTTGCCAACATTCTCACAATAAAGAAATCCATATTTTTTTGGGTATAGATACCTAAATTATTTAAAACTCTAAAAATAAAAAGAACAGGGTTCAAAAGAAATGGTAAACTTTTTTTCTCTATCTTTTCCACAGGGGGAAAAGAGAGCTAAAGATGAGCGCCGCTCCTTAGAGAACCTGTGACACTAATTATCAAAGTATGCTGCGAGGAAGACAACGTGCTCCTGGAAAAGATAGAAGTAATTGAATAAACTCTACAGAGACTACTTCAGAACAGAAAGTAGGCCTTTCAATTGCGGAGTCACAGAAAGGTTCATAGTGGAGAACAAAAACACAGATCAGGCCTCTTATTAAATATGTGCTTCAGTAGAGAAGAGACATTTTTAAGCTCAACAACATCCGTTTCTTGTTTCACATAAGAAAAAAAAAGCTGCCATTAAAATCTCAGTCCCTGTCCACAGTGCAACAAGGTAGGAGTCGCGTAATAGTACCATAAATATAGCTTCCTAATACAAGCTGAGCTTAATCAGGTTTGGAGCATTATTTTAAAAGTCCCTGGTAACCTGAACATCACTGCAGAAGGACAACCGCCACCGAGAGACGCTGATTACAGCCTTCTGGAGCTGGAACGTTTTTTGTTTTTTTTCCACAGTGGAGTAGTGCGAGGGACAGTCAGTAACTTCAGAGGTATCAAACAGTTCAGTGTGCTCATGCATGCATTTAGTGTAACAGGCAAGTTAGGAGTGCTTTTTACAGATAGGGAATACATTTGAACCTTTTCCATGAAGAATGATAATATTTGTTTTTTTGTGCAGACTCAGATTTTTGCCACAAAATACGCAGGAGTTGGCACAAGGGGGTGAAAATGAGCTGCTACTCCATCTGAGACTGGAACCACTAAAATAGAACAAAATACAGCAGATCCTGTACTTTTTTTCACTTTATACTCTTAATGCTTTCAGTTCAGTCTGTTTTGTCTTCTTCTTTTCCATCCATTCTCTGTGTGTGGTTTGCTTTCTCAACTCCATCCTCTGCCTCTGTGGGCTTAGCGCTGCGAGCGTCCATGTAGCTGACGATGAACTCAGAGTTCTGATAAATGAGCATGCCGGACAGCGTCAGCACCGCTCCGGCGCAGCTGAGCGCGGACAGCTCGCTGCCAAACAGCAGCTGAGACAGGAGAAGGTTGCCCACGATGTTCAGGTTACCCAGGATGTGCAGGGTGACTGCCGAGGTGAGCGTGATGACGCAGCAGCTGGACAGGTTGTACATGACCGATCCCAGACAGCTGAGCAGGATGAAGACCCACAGGTGACGGTCGTAGTGCAGCGGCGACTCCAGCATGGCCCAGTTTTCTAAGGCCAGAGCGGCAACGGCCAGGATGCAGAAGCTTGGAATGGACATCAAGTAGAGCAGGAACACAGAGTTGATCTTCTCCTCCTGGAGCAAAATACCTGAGATAAAAAAGAAGAAATAAAACACATTGTATTTAAAGGCCAGATATGCACTATATTGCTATTCAACTTCACACAAAGACATCCCCTTCTCACTCCAAAAGAGTTTCGTATAATATTGACCTATGCTTTACAGCTATAATAGCTTCAGCTCTTATTATTGAAAGGCTCGCCATGTGAGACCTTTTTACATTTTCAGATCATTACTCCAAAAGTGTATCTAGAAGGTCAGACACCAATGTTTGATGAGAAGACCCAGCTAACAGTGTCTTCTTATTTCATCAAGATAAGGTCAGGCGGCTCAACCAAACCCTCTCATTAACGTCTTAACATACGTTTCTTTGTGTGCATTATTTGGAATCTTATTGTAAAAGAAAAAGTCAATTTCCAAACTCTTACGGAGACAGCTCTACATCAAAATCCCCTCTACTCCAAATGTCATACTCAACACACTGAGTACCACACTGGTCTATTTTCTCACTAGAGAGGGGGGAAAAAGCAACACAGCATCAGACATTTTTTTTTCAAGCTGCTCTGCAGTGAAAACCTTCTGTCAAATAAAATGTGTAGGTCTGCAGCTACTGACTCTGCAGAAAGCTGTTAATTTCGGAGCAATAAGAGCCTCAGAATCCACCCACCTATTTCTATCATTTTAGTTAGAATTGCAAATTCTTTGTGCACTGTTGGCAAAGCAAGAATAAATGTTTTTAAATCTGTGCTATTTTACGAGCCTACTCCTTGAAGTACACCCTCCTGACATCTCACAGATAAAATTAGATGTTTATGTTACATATTACATTACATTACACCAGACTGACAGGGTACTATCAAAGAGAAGAGTCTGATGCCTTCACTGTCAGTAGATAATGGGCTCTGCTGTATAAGGCTTGCTAATGTCTGACTAATACAGATGAAGCAGAAAACTGGTTGATTAGTAAAAGCAGATTATTTTGTTCATATTTCCAGATTTTCCAGGTTAGGAATGACAATGCTGTTTGGAGTAGTGGGGAAAAAAGAGACTTAGGATTCTATTTTAAGTTTCAGGAAAGTGTTTGAAAAATCCAGTCAAAGGAAGCTTTAAGATGTACGGTAAAAGACGCTATTAATCTATTTTCTTCTGCATGTCGAGACAAATCTGTGCCCCATTGAGTCAGTGAGAGAGAAGAAGACTTTCAGCTGACTGAAGTAAGGTTTATCAGAGTACAGCAAAGGTATGGTTTATGCTTTTCAGTTTCCAACCTCATCCTGTCCAATAACATGTTGGAAGTAACATGTAAATGTTAATATCTTTTTATCCAATATCTTAAGAGATAAGAGAAATATTTAGATTCTCCAGGAAATTATAAGCCTTCAACTTCAAATAGTACAATCACTATTGAGATGCTGAAGGCAGTTGTTGACAATATCTACTAGTCTATTTTATTTTTGATTTAGAACCGTTGGATCTGACCAGTCAGAAAAAAAACTTTTTCTGCTTTTGATATCAGGAAGCTGCGTGTGTAGCTTTATCTTATCTTAGAACAAAACATCTGGTTTTCATTGACCCACAGTTGAATTTAGGTATAAAGGCAGTGACAACTGAAGAGATGTCTCCTCATCTGCAAGCGTGTTATGATGTGATGATTAAAGGAGCTGAGTAGAAAACAACTATCAAGGAAGAAACAGAAACCAGGCCTGCAATGACAGCAAGGCTTTAAACTTGTCTGTACACTTTAAAGGCACACTATGCAACATTTTTCAGTTAATTAATGTGTTCCATAACGTTTTGGATGATTAAATGAGTCATTTCAGGTTGAACAAAGGTATTCTCGGCCGCCCTGGTGGTCTGTAGGGGAAATACTGCACTTGCAATTGCAGGAGCACCGACCCGCACCCACAGGCTCAGAAGTCTCGCGAGAGTCAGTCTTGCTTTACGGCCGAGAACCGCTACACCCCCCAGTTAAAAGCATTCTCGTTGCTAGCACAGTGGCGATCCTTGTGCAGTTATGCTACGTTCACGCAGCAAAAGCAGCAAAATCGTGTCTGCTGCTTCATTTTTGCTGCTTGAACCAGTTAGTTCTGACGCTCTGACTGTGCGGTGCAAAAGTGTGTCTGACGCGCGTTGGGCGGAGCTTCACTATCCTTTCTCTGCCTTGCAGCTATATTTGCTGTGATCATTTGGAATAAAGTAGTTTTAATATGTGTTTAAATGAGAAAATACACCTGAAAACGTAATCAGTGCCGTCAGTTCATTCAGATTATTATCCTGCCTTCAATATTTTTTCTGTCGGAGCCGCTCAGACCCCCACATACCAGCGGTGCGCCGACAGAAGGAACCCCTTCATCAGCAGCCTCTGGCCAGGTCACGTCCTCGCGGTTCACCGCGGCAGCTGGTAGGTGTTTTTCATCTAAATAATCCAAACTGCATATTCTGCCGGCAGATTTCTGCATTTTAAGTGAATTTAGGCGTCAATAAACTGTTTAAGAGGAGAGATCATAGCCTCTGATCATCAGCGCTGTGTCTCTCTCCCTGCTTCAGCTGCTCAGACGCGCTGGGCCTGCTGCTCCTTTGCTGCGCCTTGACGCGCGTCAACCATTGACTTTGCATGTAAACTCGCTGCTTCTGTCGCGCCAGCTGCGGTGTGAACGCAGCATTAGTCATTCGTTGCGTTCGCCTGTCTGCTAAGCTCAAAACAACCGCGCCTGGCTTGACGGAGAAACCAGGAGAACAGCTGTGCATATTTACGACAGTACACTTTTACTTTCGCCCTCTGGGGGGAGTCTCGCTGGAAAATCAACACCGGTTGCATAGTGTACCTTTAAAGACATGTAACCAAACAGCCTGGAGCGTTAAAGTTCTGCAAAATAATAACACTTTATGGGTCAAACTGTTCTTATTTCAGGATGTTTCTCACAGTTTTCCACACAGCAGCCATCTTCGCATTTTCAAAACCAGCATACAGGTGCTGGTCATAAAATTAGAATATCATGAAAAAGTAGATTGATTTCAGTAATTCCATTTAAAAAGTGAAACTTGTATATTATATTCATACATTACATACAAACTCATATATTTCAGATGTTTATTTTGTTTAATTTTGATGATTACAAATGACAACAAATGAAAATCTCAAATTCATCATATCAGAAAATTAGAATATTACTGAAGACCAATTAAAACAAAGGATTTATAGAAATGTTGGCCAACTGAAAAGTATGAACATGAAAAGTATGAGCATGTACAGCACTCAGTATTTAGTTGGGCCTCCTTTGGCCTGTATTACTGCAGCAATGCGGCGTGGCATGGAGTCGATCAGTCTGTGGCACTGCTCAGGTGTTATGATAGCCCAGGTTGCTCTAATAGTGGCTTTTAGCTCTTCTGAATTGTTGGGTCTGGTGTATTGCATCTTCTTCTTCACAATACCCCATAGATTTTCTATGGGGTTAAGGTCAGGAGAGTTTGCTGGCCAATTAAGAACAGGGATACCATGGTCCTTCAACCAGGTACTGGTAGCTTTGGCACTGTGTGCAGGTGCCAAGTCCTGTTGGAAAATGAAATCTGCATCTCCAAAAAGTTGGTCAGCTGCAGGAAGCATGAAGTGCTCTAAAACTTCCTGGTATGTGGCTGCGTTGACCCTGGACCTCAGAAAACACAATGGACCAACACCAGCAGATGACATGGCACCCCAAACCATCACTGACTGTGGAAACTTTACACTGGACTTCAAGCAACGTGGATGAAGTGCCTCTCTTCTTTTCCTCCAGACTCTGGGACCTTGATTTCCAAAGGAAATGCAAAATTTACTTTCATCAGAGAACATGACTTTGGACCACTCACCAGCAGTCCAGTCCTGTTTCTCTTTAGCCCAGGCAAGACGCTTCTGACGCTGTCTGTGGTTCAAGAGTGGCTTGACACAAGGAATGCGACAGCAGAAACCCATGTCTTTCATACGTCTGTGTGTGGTGGTTCTTGAAGCACTCACTCCAGCTGCAGTCCACTCTTTGTGAATCTCCCCCACATTTTTGAATGGGTTTTGTTTCACAATCCTCTCCAGGGTGCGGTTATCTCTCTTGCTTTTACACTTTTTTCGACCACATCTTTTCCTTCCCTTCGCCTCTCTATTAATGTGCTTGGACACTGAGCTCTGTGAACAGCCAGCCTCTTTAGCGATGACCTTTTGTGTCTTGCCCTCCTTGTGCAAGGTGTCGATGGTCGTCTTTTGGACAACTGTCAAGTCAGCAGTCTTCCCCATGATTGTGTAGCCTATAGAACTAGACTGAAAGACCATTTAAAGGCTTTTGCAGGTGGTTTGAGTTAATTAGCTGATTAGAGTGTGGCACCAGGGGCCATCAATTTTGAACCTTTTCACAATATTCTAATTTTCTGATATGATGAATTTGAGATTTTCATTTGTTGTCATTTGTAATCATCAAAATTAAACAAAATAAACATCTGAAATATATGAGTTTGTATGTAATGTATGAATATAATATACAAGTTTCACTTTTTAAATGGAATTACTGAAATCAATCTACTTTTTCATGATATTCTAATTTTATGACCAGCACCTGTATTCTTAAGGAAAACACATTAGTCCATGAAAGGCGACAGTTCTTGCATCATCTCTACTATCATGATCATACAGGATGTAAGCTAACCCTAAACAGACCTATGAATGTGTTGATCTAATGAATTTTGTGTCTAAGACAGTTTGTTTTTAGGATCCACAACTAAAAACCGTGACTTCCTGGTTTTATCTCTTCTCTGAACAGAAAAGTAAACTCTATCCAGCAGCATCATGTCCTGTTCCTGTTTTTATAGTCAAATCAGACGGATAAGTGATCTTCAAACATACGTACAGGCAGTTGATTGTGGGAATATAGCAGGACAGCATGCAAAGCTCATCTTTAGAAGGCATATTTCATACCTCTTTAGTGCCAACATAGACAAATGTGCTACTGCAATATTGAGGGTTTGTTTTCCATTTATGTTTTAGAAAGGTTCTTTTTTCTACAAAACTATTTCAATTTTTGCAGGTGTGTTGCTGGCTTTGCTGGAGTGACTTTACTGGAAGCCTACCTATAGCTCACAAGCTGCTCACATGTCATCAAACATTCATTTGAGGGTTTAATAAAAAGCTGTACTTGACCTGAGATGGAAACGGAAATAGAAAACACAGGGGGGAATGAATTTCTGCCAGGGGGAGGACCAAAATAGTCACTTGAAACCTGAGGCTACATCATGTATGATTTGCTTGTTTATATATTCTGGTCCAAATGAAACAGCCGTACTTAATGTTCCCTCCAGAACCCTTACTTAAGAGGAAGGGTACATCATGTGCCGTGTTTCACCAAAGAACAAGTAGAGGTATGTTGACCCTTAGGATTACGATAAGAGAGGGTTCCACAGGTTTAAGGAACTTATTTTATTTCAGTTTACCAACTAAAAACTGGCTTTCATCAGAATGTGTAAAATCAATTTAAAATATTAAAACATTAAATATACAATAGCTTCTGGAAAAGGATCCTTCTACTGGTTTGAGGAAAGCAGGAAGGAAATGGGAGATTAGTTCCTGCCCTTTCCTGCTTCTGGTAGCTTCCTCAAAACGCACACATCTGAATTATGACACATTGCATATAATAAATCATAAAAAAACACAAAACAAAATATTATAAAAGATCAAAACTTCAAGATCTGTTTTTGTTTTGCCTTCATTTACGAATTAAACTCATGTCAGAACTAAAGGACAAGAAGAACTCAGCTGTGATGCAATGAGGGCCCAGAAGCCAGCAGCTTCAACTTAGCTGATGCAACAAATGATTCAGTAAGCGCTCTGAACATGAGATAACAAAACAAGTTGTTCTACATGTAATCAGTACATTTTCTAATAAAATGTTCAGTCCCCCCCCCCCCCCCCTAACCACTTGATAAAATCTTAAATCTTCTCTAGAAACACATAATTTCTGTTTAAATAATGGCTGCTCAATTGGTGCCTCAAGAGTTTCCTCAGTTTTTCGAGAATTTCATTAAACTAAACCAGAAAACACAAAAAAAACCCAAAGAATTCATCTGGTGACTCAGATCCTAAAAGGTCAAATTATACAAGACGTTGACTGTTTCTGGATCAAGAATAATTATAAACTGCTGGAAACATGAGATCAGGCTGTAAGCAGACTCTGCTGACTCGCAGCCATGCAGCAATGTTTTTATTATGTTCCCTGAGAAACCAGGAAGCACGCTGCTGTACCATTCCACATTAATGTGAGGGTGCGTCTGGAATGAGGAGTGAATCATCAACTTGTAAAACGTCCCACAACCACAGAGTGATCTGGCGTCTGGAAGGAAACTCTAAAAAAGCTCCCTGAAGTTGCTAGCCGGTCAAATACATAAAAAAATGACTCTGACTTAGTGGAATCACTTAATTACATCTAAATGCCATTCAACTTTGATGGGGTGAAAATGTTAAACTTTAAACATGGTACTCACTCTGCTGAATGGACTTGACGCCCCTCAACATGGTTGCTGCAAACACAAAGAAGCAGCCGGTCTGATCGAACTGGACCTCTCCCATAATGCTGAAGGACGCTCCCAGGCAGATGGGCATCATTGCCGTGTATTTGATCATGTGATGCTGCTTACCCAGGATCAGAGAAGAGATGGCCAGAGTAAAGAGTGGGGTGGTGGTGTAGATCATTTGTGCAAATGAGAGCTGTACATAGTTTAGTCCAATGTTTCCAAAGGCGATACTGGCACAGAAAGTCAGACTCAACAGAAACACTTTACACTTCGCGCTTGGGGTTAGCTCCTGCTCTGCTGTCCCTCTATGTCGGATCAACCGTAGTTTGATCAGCCCGTAGTCCACCACTATGGCTGTCAGCATGTGCAGCGCTGACAGCAGCAGAGGGTACCGGAAGTTGTAAACTGCAAAAATCCATTTGTTGAGGCTGGAGATGGTGGTGCCGGTCACCAGCCAAACGATGACGGCTGAGAGTAGATGGAGCATCTCTCCAGGGGGCCGCCTCCGGCTTCTGTCTCGCAGGGTCGCCTCGCATTTTGTGAGGCCATCGGCGCTGATCATGTTCGTTGCATGGTGCTCTCTGTAAGGCAAGCACATGTTAAGCTGGTTCTTCTCATCTCCAAAAAGAGGAAGTTTTCAATCTGGAAATTCTTTAAAAAAAAAAGAAGACGCAGCTGTTTTCCCCAAAGAGGTCAACTAGTCTTTGTTGTCTGTAAGAGATGTGTTTTCATGCATCCCCTAAGAACACGTGTCCTTAGTTTGCTTGACAGCCAGGTTGTGTAACTCACCCTGTGTATGTAGGATGACATATGATTTAGTTGGAAAACAGTGAAGGGGAAGGAGGAGGAGACTGGACTGTTTGGGGAGGGCTGGAAAAACAGAGTAAATCTACGGCAAGTCATATTGCCAAATAAAGAGTGAACCAGTCATAGTTTAACAACATAATTCCCCTCTAATTCAAGACGGTAATTTAAACAAATGTTTTTTTTCCGAATCCATTTTTGTTTTGTTTTTAGATTGATAAATCTGTCACTTTCACAAACTGCAACAAAACAACAAGTTGCTGTTGATTCAGTAGTTAGTAGATAGTAAAGTAAAACAAGATGCTCTGAATAAAAACTGCATAAAGCTCTAAAATGATTTAATTCACAAAATGAAAAGATAACTGGACTTTAAATTTAAAAAGTGTATGTGGCGCTGCTCTTAAGCATGTGGAAGAATTTAAACCTTCTCTTATTTGCAGAGTGGCTCTCATTTTGGCACACTGGTAGACTTTAAAACGTGAATGGCTTGCTCAAGGTCATACCACATCATGGACTTTTATGATAACCAATATGAGTTCAGAACAAAATTTACATTACCATTAGCATTAGTTTTTTTTAAATCAGAGGCATATTTTTAACTCCCCATAAAAGTCCCCACTATAGAGTTTAATTAAAAGGACATCTTGCTTGCTTAATAGTTGACAGGTTTGAAGATTACTCAATGTTGCTGCACATATAAGCAGACAGTGCATTCATTCAAGGAGTTAACTGTGAAACCATGGCAAAACATTAATGCACACAATGTGAGATATGCATCTTAAAACAAGTGAAAACTAAGTACATAACCCTAATGAAAGAGAAGTAGCTCATATTGATAACACTCTTTATTTTAACGAGGCAACAGATTCAGGATCTTAAAAGCTGGACTAGCTTTTCACATTCAAATAACCAAATTCATATAATAAAACAATGCAGCAACACAGGGGGATCCTCATCTCACATTATACTCCTGGAAAAAATGTGCAGGCCTTTGAAAAGTGTTGGGGGAGAACAGTTAGGGCATATTCTGAACTGTTCTGTGGGAGAGTAGAGGTCCAATTCAGGTGGTTAAGTGAATAAACTCTTCTCTAAAATAGGGTAATGTTCATTCAGATAAGTTTAACATAGGACAAAAGGCTGTTTTGATAGAACAAACAGGATGCTTTTCTTCCCTTAAACACAAAAGCTATCTATACTGCATCTCGCCAGGTCCACCAGGCCAACAATGACCCTAACGACTCCCTTTTCAGAGGCCAGTATCTGTTATTGCAAGCCAGCGGCCTCAATGACTCCCCATTACTAAGGGGTGGACCTGTTCTTTTGGTTCAATTAGCATGTTTTCTAAGCCATAACAAGGCTTTGTTGGGCAACTCTATAAAGCTTGGGACTCAACGCTAATCCAGACATTATGAATTGAAAAAGCTTCCTGGATGGGAAGCGAAATGTCTTCAAAGTTGGAAAACAAAGTCCAGTGGTTTTTTTTTTTTTTTTTTTTTACTTTTTTGGAATGAATATAATCTGGATGACTGAGAATGTAGGATATAATGTAGATGTGTGAATGTGGCCTTGTCTTTCAAAGTGACTTCATGAGTTCTATTCAAGTTTTCTGGTATCAGATTGCAAAACACACAAGGATATTATTTACATTGGTGACAGTGCAGCGTTTTCTATAGCCACCAGGGGGCCTACACCATGAAGGTGCAGGGGTCCGTTTCAAAAAGCAGGTTTACCAAAAACTCTAAGATGTCTAAGCCGGAAAACAGGGAAACTCTGAATTTACATGTTAACAAAGACAGTTTCCTTAACCTCCGATTTAGTCACCGTGGTAACATTCTTCAAAGAGCTAACCTGGTCGGTAGCAGGTTTTCTTCAGTAAAGTTGGAGTGTCCTATGTCTCTGCTCTCCTTACAGCCAATCATGTTGTTTTATTTCCTGATTTAGTCAGATTTTTGTCATAGTTTTGTGCATGATAATATATATATATATATATATATATATATATATATATATATATATATATATATAAAATTCACTAGTTCCATTTGACACATTGGTTTGTTTAATATGAGCGAGATGCGCGTTATTTTATTTTTATTTAGTTATATTTACTGTAGATGAAGAACTACAGAAATTATTTTCAGATTACACTTAAATAGATTAATTAATTCCACGGGGGAAAATTAATTACTTTAGGTTTAGGATTCACTCTTTGATTACAACCTATTCACAATTTAACTAGAAAATCACTCTTAGAATGCTAACCTCCACCAAGCAGCAAATTTTGCCCCATATTGTGACTTAACTAAAACTCGTACGCGATCTGGATCATTAGCAGATTTTATTGAATTTTTCCTTGACATGAGGTGCCCCTTTAACGCAGCATGTTTCTGCAGCCTCTGGTGTTTGTCCTGCTCTCACCTTCTTCATTCACTCCACTTTCTTGTTTGATTAGCAGATCGAGACTTTGAGCATAAAAAAAACTCAACTAAAAACATAACCTCCATGGTGGAGGTAAAAATGTCCTTTAAAGTAGGATACCATGGTTAGAAAGCTGCATTTCAACTTGCTTCTGAATTGATGACTACCAATAAAGGAAATATAATACCATTTCATAAAATCTCAGCTAAAACTACCACATCAATGCTGTTTTAATTAAAGCATCAAAAATTGTAGGTTTACTGGTACCGTATTCTTTCAACCATCTTTAATCTCAAACATGAGTAATAAAGAGGTTTACGCGTTGACGCAACGCTTTGATTATATCTTATAACAATCTGCCATACCATCCTCTTCTCCAAGAGGGAGACTTGACGGATTGGTTATTGTCATCATGCAGTTATGGAGCGACAGGGACCACACAGAGTATGATGCATCCACTATAAATAGTAGTGCTGTAAACATTACGACACATTTGGCGGAGCTGTTTTAATAGCAGCAATTTTCCTTGTAACCGTGAATTTGACACACAATAAGAGTTAGTTCGCATTTCATTCAAAACAGCAGCTTACCTTATTGACAGTTTCTCTTTCACTTAGAAAGGCGATATCCTGTGAGTTCTCTTAGTGCTGTCATTACAGCTAAAGCTTTGGTTTCATTTGCGCATCAATGCGGCGACTGATTTTCACAACCGTTTCAGTGAAATAAACGTGGCTACTAGGCCACAAAAAATAAAACAGTATTGCTGACAGCCTAAGTAACCGAGTTATGCTGTCTATCTCTGCACAGCTGTAACTTGACAACTATAAATGCGCTGATGTTAGCTAGCACCCTTCCTGCGACTGCTGTGTTAGCTAACGGCAGGTTGTTCGCTTCAAAACATTGGCCGTTTCTCCTGCTTTACTTCTCGCGATAATAGCGCCCGCTGGTCTCGCGTGATTTTAAAGTATTTCATCAACGTATTTAATCGGGATGAGGGGATCTGCGTTCCTACCTTGTTCCACGGGTTCCCTCAGCATCCTCAAATCGCCATAATAACGAAGCGCTATCGACCATAGATATCCATAATAAAGGCTAGATGTCTTACGGCGGAGTCTCAAACGGCATCACCGGGCAGCCATCTTACCACAGGCAGGCTTTCTGTGTGCTCTGTGGTACTTAATGTAAGGTGAGTGATCAGCACGAACACAAATACTCTTATCTCATTGAATTCTTATATATATTATATATATATATATATATATATATATATATATATATATATATATATATATATATATATATATATATATATATATATATATTGTATATATACATTATATATAAAATATATATATATATTATATATATATATGTATATATTATATATACAATATATATATATATATATATATATATATATATATATATATATATATATATATATATATATATATATATATATATATATATATATATAATATATACATATATATATATATATTGTATATATATATTTTATATATAATGTATATATACAATATATATATATATATATATATATATATATATATTGTATATATACATTATATATAAAATATATATATATATTATATATATATATATGTATATATTATATATACAATATATATATATACACTATATTGCCAAAAGTATTTGCTCACCCATCCAAATTATTGGAATCAGGTGTTCCAATCACTTCCATGGCCACAGGTGTATAAATTCAAGCACCTAGGCATGCAGACTGTTTTTACAAACATTTGTGAAAGAATGGGTCGCTCTCAGGAGCTCAGTGAATTCCAGCGTGGAACTGTGATAGGATGCCACCTGTGCAACAAATCCAGTCGTGAAATTTCCTCGCTCCTAAATATTCCACAGTCAACTGTCAGCTGTATTATAAGAAAATGGAAGTGTTTGGGAACGACAGCAACTCAGCCACGAAGTGGTAGGCCACGTAAACTGACGGAGCGGGGTCAGCGGATGCTGACGCGCATAGTGCGAAGAGGTCGCCAACTTTCTGCAGAGTCAATCACTACAGACCTCCAAACTTCATGTGGCCTTCAGATTAGCTCAAGAACAGTGCGCAGAGAGCTTCATGGAATGGGTTTCCATGGTCGAGCAGCTGCATCCAAGCCATACATCACCAAGTGCAATGCAAAGCGTCGGATGCGGTGGTGTAAAGCACGCCGCCACTGGACTCTAGAGCAGTGGAGACGCGTTCTCTGGAGTGACGAATCGCGCTTCTCCATCTGGCAATCTGATGGACGGGTCTGGGTTTGGCGGTTGCCAGGAGAACGGTACTTGTCTGACTGCATTGTGCCAAGTGTAAAGTTTGTTGGAGGGGGGATTATGGTGTGGGGTTGTTTTTCAGGAGCTGGGCTTGGCCCCTTAGTTCCAGTGAAAGGAACTCTGAATGCTTCAGCATACCAAGACATTTTGGACAATTCCATGCTCCCAACTTTGTGGGAACAGTTTGGAGCTGGCCCCTTCCTCTTCCAACATGACTGTGCACCAGTGCACAAAGCAAGGTCCATAAAGACATGGATGACAGAGTCTGGTGTGGATGAACTTGACTGGCCTGCACAGAGTCCTGACCTCAACCCGATAGAACACCTTTGGGATGAATTAGAGCGGAGACTGAGAGCCAGGCCTTCTCGTCCAACATCAGTGTGCAACCTCACAAATGCGCTTCTGGAAGAATGGTCAAAAATTCCCATAAACACACTCCTAAACCTTGTGGACAGCCTTCCCAGAAGAGTTGAAGCTGTTCTAGCTGCAAAGGGTGGACCGACGTCATATTGAACCCTATGGATTAGGAACGGGATGTCACTTAAGCTCATATGTGAGTCAAGGCAGGTGAGCAAATACTTTTGGCAATATAGTGTATATATATATATATATATATATATATATTGTATATATACATTATATATAAAATATATATATATATTATATATATATATATATGTATATATTATATATACAATATATATATATATATATATATATATATACAATATATATATACACAATATATATATATATATATATACAATATATATATACACAATATATATATATATATATATATATATATATATATACAATATATATATATATTATATATATTATATATATATATATTATATATATATATATATATACACAATATATATATATATATTATATATATATATTGTATATATACATTATATATAAAATATATATATATAATGTATATATACATTATATATATAATATATATATATATTTTATATATAATGTATATATACAATATATATATAATATATATATATATATATATATATATATATATAGTGTATATATATATTGTATATATATATATAGTGTATATATATATATATATACAATATATATTATATATATATATATATATATTATATATATATTGTATATATACATTATATATAAAATATATATATATATATTTTTTTTTTATTTATTTATTTATTTTTTTTTCTGGGACCATATATATATGGTTGCCATTCTGTACACTGAGTTTTAATAGCAGATATTGATTTAACATAAATACTTTGTGCATGTGTGTATTCTATTCAGTGTTCTTTTCATATGAAATTCCATGGTTATAATTATTCCTAAGTGCGCAGTATCACAACTACATGTCTGACTTTTTTTTTTTAACAAACCAAACAGTTTGAGAATAGTTAGACAATTGAGGAAGTTATGGTTATTTCAGTACATGCGCCATTGAAACACAATGCTACGAATGAGCGAGCTGCCTGTGGTAAGATGGCCGCCACGTGCGGACGTCGACCCCCATTGGCCAGCAGCGCGGACGAGACATCTAGCCTTTATTATGGATATCTATGCTATCGACCAGAAGAGTGGGAGGTGTGTTTCATTATTATTTAAAGGGCTATGCCACTTCTTTTTTCTTTTTTAAATAGTTTATTCTAGTGATGAGTCCGTGCTTGCGTCGAGCCCATAGAGCAAAAACTGCTGTATCGGTGCGCTGTGGTTTAAAGAAAGTAATGTGATCGATACAGGAGTTGTTTTTAACTGACTGACACCCTAAACTGTTTAAAAACGTATCTGTCGCAGGGGCGGAGTTGGATGGGGGGCCAGAGGTGTCCATGGCCACCCCTACCATTTTTTTCCCCTCAGCAGCAATACTCTGAAGGGGAATGTTCAAGCTTATTAAACATTTTTTCATATATTAACAAATAATGATAACAGAAACACTGGTTAATTATGCATATCAATGTACAAACATTAAAGATGATACAGAATTCCTGTTCTTTTCAAAACTAAATTTTGAATTATTTGGGGTAAAGATAAAATTATCGGTCTCTGTAAGTCATCTAGGAGTCTTCGGTGAAATCATAGATAAATAACTACTTTAATGATAACTTAAAAATTCATTAAATGTGGATATTAGTAGATTTAAATATCATTTTTTTTTGCAGTATGATTATTGATAAAAGGTAATGAGAATGTAAAATATGTTCACCCCAGAACTCAAACCTGAAAAAATTGTGTCCACTATACCTTTTATTTACACAGCATAGATGTTTAAATATATGCATCTATTTGTTAGCAAAGGCTGCAGGAAAGTAGAGTTTGTCTTTATTTAGAAAATATGGATGTTTTGCTTGTTGCTATTGAAATAGAGAAGATTGACCCTGAGGTTCTGGTGCCTTTCGGCAACCTTTCAGTTTACATTGGTTATTGACTGGCCACCACCCCTATTAGGATTTTCTGGCTACGCCTCTGATCTGTCGACATGATGCATCTGGTAAAAATGTCTAGTCTTTGCGGTTTATCATTAAAATTATGAATAATTTTGGAACGTATTAGCTGTTCCGTTTTAATTTTACTTTTCTTCTCAGTTATCACTCAACATATCTGATTTAAAGTTAATTTCAAATTGACTCTTAGTGTATTTACTGTTTATATGATTTAAAATCCTAGTCCACAAGCATCCTCATTCACATTTTCCCCTAAATTTTCACGTTATGTTTTCATTATTTATTTGCTGCATCTAAAAATATCAAAGATATTTTCCATTTAAACATAGATATAAAATAATACAATATAACCAATAATAACTTAAATGATATCACTGTACTAATAGGTCATCAAATCAATTAAGTTTAGTCTGTCTAATAAGCTGCCTGCAGTGTCTTTAAAATTCCAGCAGGTGTCGGTATTCTGCGAGAAAGTATCAAAGCAGTATGAGCACAGCTTATTTTTATTTTATTTTTTTTATCAAGGTCTGAAATCAACGTACAACTTCTCCGTGATCACAGCCTAATGATTAGTTAATCGTTTATCTTTTTTTTAAATTTTCATTGGAACCATTTCCATATCATTCATATGGAAATGGTTCGTATTAAAACGCTTAAGTCAACAGAACCTCAGAATCCACAAACTATTAATACCCCCTTTTTTTCACAATGTTTTTTAAGGCTTAATTACAGGGTGTAAAATTTACAACTACATTGAAATGCAAGAAAAATGGTAAAACCTTGTATTGAATTTGATTTCCACATACAGGAGGGTGAACTTCTGAACAGAAAACCAATTTATTTTTTATAAAGACGCAACTGGAATTAAATTCCCACCAAGTGCTGGTATCATTCACTTCACCCATAAAAATAAATATATATTGTTCTGTGCCAGCTTACAATATACCAGTGCAATAAAATAAATCTAGTGATCCATATTAGGTGCATAAACTCCAGCAAAAACTATGCAAACAATAAATACAGTTTTGATCATCAATCAGAAATGTTAATTTGGGAGTATTTCACATCAATTATGGCACTACTGTTGCACCTCAGCACTCTGTATCTGCCACACAAGGCTAGATGTGTCCTCAGGGTGAGGATCGTTAAATTGGAGACACTG